CCAGGACGTCGCCGCCGAAGGCCGCGACGGCCGCGTCGGGAAGCGCGAACGACAGCCCGTCGAAGTGCCAGCTGTGCGTCACGGGCGCGACGGTGCTCGCGTTGCGGTGTGTTGTGTTGGCCGTGTACATGTCGACGACGGGCGCATTCCAGGCCGCCTCCCAGAGGCCGCGGTCCGCGCGCGACACGAGCGGCGCAAGGTGCACCGTGACCCGGAGCGGCGGCACGGTCCGCGGCAGGTACGCGGCCCCGTCGTCGTCGGCATGGTCGATGCCGGACAAAATGAAGTTCGACGTCATCGTCGCGTGGGGCGCCGCGGCCAGGGCCTTGTGTCGCGGCCCCGCGGCCTCCGCGGCGCTCGCGGGGAAGACGACGCTTCGCCAGCCCGCGCTGCCCTCGTCGAACGCGCCGACCCAGCCCTGGGCGAACATGCGCGTCGTCGACACGAGCATGTTCGCGTAGCCCATGAGCACGCTCGCCGTCGCCTCGCACTCCGACGCCGCGAGCTCCGCCCGCCCGTCGTCGATGCGGTCCGGCAGCTCCACGACGCTCACCCAGGCCAGCGTGCTGAGGAAGACGACGGCCGCCGCGACGACGGCGGCCTTGCGCCAGAGGCGCGTGGGCTGCCGGCGATCGGGGGGGGGGCTTCCCCGGGTCGTCCCCCACGCCGGGGGCTGCCACATGGGCAGCCATCCTGTGGTTCGCACTTTTTGTTATGCAATCGCTTGTACTTCAAGGTATTGTTCAACGTCTCGCCATTTTCTGCCACACCTGTGGAGAGGGGAGGTGTGTGGACGACAAGACCCCCGCTCCCGCATGGCACAGCTGATCGACTCCCCGCACGCGGAGATGAAGCGAATACTCGACGTCCAGAAGAAGGCGTTCATCGCCAACGGCGCGCCGTCGACGCAGGAGCGCATCCGGCGCATCGACGTCGCCATCAAGCTGCTCCTCGACAACGCGGACGCGCTCTGCGCCGCCGTCGACGAGGACTTTGGCGGGCGGCCCGTCAAGTTCACGAAGTTCGTCGACGTCGCGACGGTCGTCGACGGGCTGAAGAACGCGCGCGCGCACGTCGCCAAGTGGTCGGCGCCGCACCGCCGCGGCGTCGAGTTCCCGATGAACCTCGCGGGCGCGTCGAACGCCGTCGAGTACGTGCCCAAGGGCGTCGTCGGCGTCATCTCGCCCTGGAACTACCCCGTGTCGCTCCTCTTCAACCCGCTCGCGGGCATCTTCGCCGCGGGCAACTCGGCGATGCTCAAGCCGTCCGAGTTCGTGCCCAAGACCGCGGAGCTCGTGCGGAAGCTCGTCGCCGAGGCCTACGACGAGAGCGTCTGTTGCGTGGTCACGGGCCACGCGGACGTCGCCGCGACGTTTAGCAGCCTGCCCTTCGACCACCTCATGTACACGGGGTCGGCGCCGGCGTCCGGTTACGGGAAAACGACGAGCGATCGAGATTTTGACAAAAGATCGTCGCCGACGCGTCCCGTAGGTCGACGCGCGTCGGCAAGATCGTCGCCCGGGCCGCGGCGGAGAACCTCGTGCCCTGCACGCTGGAGCTGGGCGGCAAGTGCCCCGTCATCGTCGGCGCGTCCACGGACCTGAACGTGACGGCCATGCGCGCGCGCGCCGCGTCCTTCGGCGCCGTCCCTCGCGTCGCTCCTCGATTCGCGCTTCACCCCGCCCGCCGCAGGCCTCGCGCACGGCAAGGTCATGAACGCGGGGCAGACGTGCATCGCGCCGGACGTCGTCTTCGTGCCCGCGGCGCTGAAGCAGCCCT